AATTAACAACCAATGCTTAATTAGCATCTCAAGGAGAAAAAATTGTCGCGCAAACTATAACTTAACTTAGAACGAGCCCCCAATTTGTTACAGCCTGGCTCTAGGACCATAACAAATAAAGGGGAAGCAACGCATGGGATCACTTAGAATTATATTTATTTAACAAAAATCATGGCTGGCTGGAGAAAAAAGGTCAAGAAGGGAGAGAGGGGAGAAATCTTCTTCTTCTTTTGGTTTTTATTGGCGGTTGGCAACCAACTTAAGGAGCATTTACCGCCACCTACCAAACTGGAGTGTGGTCTTCAGTGATGTCGGAGGGAATTCAACACATCAAATGACGTGTATGATGTATATATGCCCACCCTGACCCTCACTAAAGTACTTGTATGAATATGCAGCGGCAGACTCATATCTATATACTCAATATTTAACTCGATTTATTGTTCCCGTGCTATTCAAAAATTTAAACAATTGAGTCGCAACATATCTTGATCCATATCCCAATAGACTGAGAGGGGAGAAATGACAGCAAGTGGTGGATCTTAAGCTGGATCTGAAGCTCTTCTGGAGACAGTGGCCAGCTGCCTCCACTTCCAATCAACACCAGTTAGGAGCTCTGAAACACAGACATGTTAGAGAGGCCAAGAGGAAAGCCTTGGCCATAACAGTCCTCACACTCAAATATCTACAATAAGAGCCAAAAAGATTTAAACTGAGTATTGCAAGAAGGAATGCATATTACCCACCACCTTTCATGCCAGAGTTTTAATTTAGGACCATCTTATCTTGAAAAGTGATCGAATTTTACCTGTTTTGCTCAAATCCTCAAAGTAATATTTTGCGCAATCGCCCACCATCTTATATTTTAAGATGGGAATGACTTGCTCAGCTATTACCTCATCAAATTCTGTGTCCTTGTCATTTTTGTGTTCTATATTGTTCCAAAAGTTGAAGCGCTGTAGATGTATATTCAATGATTGCTTTCTTAAAGTTTCATTTAAAATTTGTTCAGGGATTCACGAGATATTTTTCTTATCGACTGATAATAATAGAAATAATGGAAAATCTATGAGCAAAATTAAATAGTCTAACAGAGAACACAAAAATGACAAGGACTCTGAATTTGATAAAGGTAGTAGCTGAGAGTCATTCCCATCTCAAAACACAAGAGTTAACAGATTGAGAGTGATTGCACAAGATGTTATTTTTAGGATTTGAGCAAAACAGCTCAAATTCTATCACATTTCAAGAAAAGATGATCCAAAATTAAAACTCTGGCCTGAAAGGTGGTGGATGATTTGCATTCCTTCTTGCAACACTCATCATTTAAATCTTTTTGGCTCTTACTGTAGACATTTGATTGTCAGGACGTGTTAGTAAAACCAAACTTTTATCAAAATGTATGTATTCAAATGAAAAAAAATTGGTGCCAGCTGTTGTGACATGGAGAGTTTTTGTGGGGGTGTAACTAACTGTGTAAACAGAAAATCTTATTTTGTTTTTGCAATTTACAAACAGCTGACAACAGCTACAGAAAACAGCTCCAGATATAACTTTTTTTTTTTTTTTCTTACAGGAGCTGAAAAACTCGCAAAAAAGGCTAATAAGACAACAAAAAGGAGGAACGTTTGGATCACCGGATGATAAAATCATTCACTGTTATGAAGAAAATTGCACAGCTCTAATCAGCTAGAAGCAAATGCAGTTAATGAACTGAAAATTAAACAGACATAGAACTGCTTTCATTTTAGTAATTTTTTGTCCATTATTTCACTTTGGTAAAAAAAAAAAAAAAAAATTAAACACGTCGTTTCCAGTGTTGTTATTTGAACTAAAAAGCAAAAATACACAAAAAAAAAAAATCTAATTTATGAGAAAACCAGTTCATAATTTTAGGTTAAAATAAACTCATTAAGCCTGGCCCTTTATTCTTTAAACCAGTGAGTCAATTGTGTGTTCGGCAACAAACAGGTTTCTCTGGTTCAGTGTTTGTCTGAGTGTGTTGTAAAAAAAATGAATTAGTCTGATTACAGATTTGGGAGCATCAACATCTTAACGTGTGTGTCACAGGTTGCAGGTATTCAGTGGCATTACATCCCCTGCATGTAAGTACCGGTATACCTTTAATTTACTAAAATGTTTTTAATTGGATTGCTCAGAAGGAATTATTCAATTTTTAAGCTTAAACAAGAGCTCTAACAAGGTTCAGTCAGGCCCTCTGGATGAATTCATCTTTGTTGAAACATTTTGTCTTTTTTTTTTTTTTCAAAAGACGTCTTCAGTCAACTGAAGAAATCTTTTGGATAAAAGACGAAACGTTTCAACAAGAATCCGTCCAGAGAACCTGACTTAACCTTTTATCCACCTGGATTATTGAGAATGCATCAGGATACTTAAAAAAAGTACATTTATTTGTAGATCATTTTCAAGCTGCAGTGATAGTTCCATTTGTTTTTTGTTTTCTCACCAGTATAGTTTTTTTATTTTATTTTTTTTACATTTCCTTGTAGCCAGCCTGTAGTTTATTTATAGATTTAAAAACGTATTACACTCATAAATCAGTGTTCTATAACTGAATTGTGTATTGAACTAGAACTATGGAAGGTTTTGTATTATTGTTAACCTGTTAACAAAAAGAGAAGAAAGGTAGATGTTTTATGTGTCCAAGAAAACAAGTGCAAGGGCAGCAAGGCTCGCAGCATTGGAGCAGGGTTCAAACTGTTTTACCATGGTGTGGATAGAAAAAGAAATGGAGCAGGGGTGGTCCTGAAGGAGGAGTTGGCAAAGAATGTAGTAGAGGTGAAAAGGGTGTTAGATAGGGTGATGTGTCTGAAGGTAAGTACAAGGTCTGATGCTAATTATTGTCAGT